TGCAGTCACAGGCTATTAATGACACCCCCCCCAAACCCCCCCCCCGCCGTGAGAACCAGGGGGGGCTTTGCACAGGACTGCCCCCAGGAGGTCTCAGAACCCTCCCAGCATACTTTGAAAATGGCTGGGTGAAGAGGCTATTCTGGGGTCATCTGTCCACCCAGCCCCGCACCTCCTAAGAGCATCACCTCCTGCTTCTTAGCCCAAGCGAGGGCTGGCTGGGTAGAAGGCTGCCCTGGGGCAGTATCCAGCAGTCAGTCAATGAATAGACCCTGAGCCTCCCATGTGTTGGGCCCTGCCTGGCCCTGTAAAAGGCAAGGGAATGAGGAGATGTGGCTCCTGTCCTGGCGGAGCTTCTGAGCTGCTTGGAGGAGACGAAGCTGCCATTCAGGAAACAAAAATTCACACCTCGCAAGACGGTGCTAACCCTGAGAGAGAAAGGGAGCAAAAGACAGCCGCCAAAAAAAGTTTATTTCTCTGGTTAAAGATGCCCGAAGTTTTTGTATACGTGTTATTAAAATTGTCCAAGCAGCGACGCTGCCTTTGAGGAAAAAGTTTCCAGCATGTGGGAGGGGCTGGGCTGCCGGTGCACTGGGAGGGGCGCCGGGAGCGGTGGTTGCCATGGGAACCAGCGCCCAGCCGCCCACGCGCCCAGCGGCGGCTGTTCCAAAAGTTGGTTTCTGCGGGGAGGGGGCTGCCTGAACCTCGGAGCCATTTCCCATGGAAACAACGTTCTGAATGTTGGGCGACGTTCCCACACAGGCCTGCCTGCCCTGGAGCTGAGGTGGCAGCGGGACTTCTGATGGGGGAGTCTCTCCAGGGAACAAAGTAAACAAGGCGCGGGAACAAACATTGGAGCACCTTCTCTAAACTGGGCACATTTCATACATTTTAATTTCATGCTTAGAGCAGTCCTGCAAAGTATAATTTTCTAATCAATCCCATCTTACAAATAGGAAACTGAGACTGTGAACAGTAACTTGCCCAACAGGGTCACCCACCTGCTCTGTGGGAGAGTATCTAGCATCGAAAACTGGTGGGGGAACTTTCAAGAGAGACCCTAGGTCCACCTTATACTACCCTCCCACCTCAAAGGGGCCATCCAAGACCCCCAAAAAGTAAAGAACCAAAATTCTAGAATGATCTCTCAAAAGATCTAGAAAGATCTCTGATCTTCTAGTTGAATAGTCTAGAGAGGAGGTGGGTCTTGTGAATGTAAGCAGTTTGCTCCTTAACCACCAACCAACTTTTTATCCTGTGGTGTCTTTCGTCATAGCCTGTAGTGACTGAAAAAAAATCTTTCTCTTTACCACTCGAGTCCAGCCTATTTTGTAGGAGTGTGGTGCATTTTGACTGCCCTCCGCACTTACAAAGACATTGTTTAGTCAGGGATTATTTGGGGGGAGGCTGAAAGCCTGGAAAAACATGTCCATCAGGAGAAGAGCCTTTATGAATTGGGGGGAGGGGCCTGGTCTGGACTCATTGTCTTGGCCGTGCAACACCTTCTCTCCTTCCTGGGCCCACGCTTGCTTCCAGAAGGGCTTTTCTGTGTGGTTGGTCTGACTTGGTAGAAGGAGGCTGGGAGGGTTGCCTCTTGGCCCTCTCCGTGGTCAGGCCCAATGCTGTGGCTGGTAGGTGGTCTGACAGTGGTTCAGAAATGCCTTCAGCTAGCCTTTTGCTCCCTGCTGATGCTCTGCCAGGCTTTGGCGATACAGAGAGGACAAGATGCCGTCCCTGCCCTTCTGTGCACATTAAATGTAGACGGTTTCAAGGATACCGGTGGCCTCTGCACCAGGAACTGCAGGGCGCAGAGTAGAAGGAGGTGACTCCCATTGGAGGTGATTCCTGGGCCCGGGCCTGACCTGTAAAGAGGTATGTGCTCTCCCAGGGGTCTGCAGGGCACTCGGTGTGACCCCAGGGCACACTGGGCGAACATAAAGCTGGTTGGGAGAGCGAGTAGAGTGTGAGAGGCTGTGGCATAGCTACCACTGGAGAGGTCAGCATGGTGACCAGTGACAGCCTTGAATGTCCGGTGAAGGAGCCGGGACTTGGCCCATCAGCGATGGGCAGCACTAAAGCGTTTTTCACCACGGGGGATCCGGTCCAATTTTTGTGCTAACTGTGCATTCTAACCTGCTTCCATTGAGTCTTGGTTGGGAGGGAACCCCGAGTTGGCTGCCTGTGATCTCTCAGGGGCTCAACCCCTGAGTGCGGAGCTCTGTGAAGGGAAGGAGCCCCTCGTCTGTTTCCTGGCAGCTGCCTTGCTTGGCAAGCAGGTCCCCAGGTGATTCTGCTGTGGCTGGTCTGAGTACCAACGCAGAGATTCAGTTCATGTCCTCTATCATACTTACTAGTGGAGATTTCTTATCTTGTTTCATTTTGAGAAGAAAATCAAGAGAAATAATTTTCCCTCTTGATATCTTCCCACCCACTGAGTATTTCTTATTCATGTCGCTGCCAGCAGAGAATGGAAGGGAGCTTTAGAAACAGCCTCTCTCACAGGCAAACATGCCCACCCTGGCCCAGTGTCATTGTCCACCCTCGGCCAAGATGGCGGGTAAGGAGGGGCTGACACCTCGATCCCCTGACCTGAGAGGCGAAGGAGAAAGGGAGCTGGCCCTTGCCCTCCTCTCCCCATTTCTGTTTCCTTCCAACTGCCCTGTGGCCCCTTTGGACCACCATCCCTTGTCATGTGGGAGATCTCAGTTTGCCAAAGCCTCAACTTGTCCCCACCTTTACCCTTCTTAGGGAGACAGGGCACCAGATGCTGAGGCTGCAGCTGGCCCCTGGGCCCAATATCCTGCACCAAAGGAGCTTAAAGCCCCACCTGAAGGACACAGAGTCCTACATTTTCAGGTAGCTGGAACATTTATTTGGCGGGAACATTAAAAATTTTTTTTTTATTTGAGGATAGTCGACACACAATGTTACATTAGTTTCAGGCGTACAACATAGTGATTCATCAACTCTATACGGTCTGCTCCGCTCACCACAAATGTAGCTATCTCTCACCATGCATTGCTGTTACAGTACCATTGACTATGCTCCCTATGCTGTGCCTTTTATTCCCATTGGTGGGAATATTTTAATATTGTTAAACTTTCCCAGTATACATATATAATATTAGCTTGTGTATTAGCAAGTGTTGAGAAAATTGAGAAAGTGCCCCCAAATCTGCCAGTCCTCTCTATGCCTAGAACCACATCTAGACATATAGGTTCATTCATGGAAGTGCAATCATATGTACTTGTGGTTTTGCAGCCTGTTTGGGGCTTTCTTCATGCATAATATAAACTTTTCTAGGTTAGGGACTATCATCCTTTTTAATGGCTGCATAGTATTGCATTGTGTAGATAACTTTTTCTTTAACTCCCCCCGCAACATTTAAGTGATTTCCATTTTCCCCCTGTTCTTTACATCTTTGTACACTTGTCTGATTATTTCCTAGAATAAATCCTCATATACCAAATAGCTTCGAGAGGTGGTATGTCATTTTAAGTTTCGATATATTTATGCGAGTGTATTCTCAGTCCAGTCGGGACAGATTTACATGCTCACCTGCAGTGTATACAAGCGCGTATACTTCCTCAGGATGCAGGGAAGTCCTAAATGTCAACATCAAGCTTCAGTAACTGCAGAGCGTTTTTGCAATGACTCTCTCCCGCAGCCCCATGCAGATCAGTGTGGCCACATAACCCACACTTGTGTCGAACACCCTTTCTGTTGCTCTCTAGAACTGAGGACTCTTTCAGAGCTGCCAATAACTGTAAAAAAAAATCCAGCCCTTTCATCTGTTAGGTAAGGAAGGTATGGCTCGGCGTGGCCTTCCCAAGCAGCAGCGAGGAACGCAGGACACCCAGTCCGCACCCTTGAGTGTCCCCGTCACACCTGCGCCATGCCTTTCTGCCTCCCAGCTTGTGCAAAGATTCTTTTCTAGTACCGTGAGGCAGGATCAAGCTTGCACCCTCTTGGCACCGGGTCAGTGCTCCTGCTACCCGGGAGTGTCGCCATAGCAGGAGGGGGCATTGTTCTCCCTGGCACCCTGGCGGGGTCCACAGTTAGCAGCCCAGAACCCTGGGCTGAGCGCTCCGTCCGCACTCCCTGCCTCCCTCTCCTCCTTGTCACTTTATGACGCTGCTTCCAAAGATCACTCTTCGCTTCTCTGCTGTCACCTCTTCACAATCAGTCCTTATCTGTTAAGGCTCATTATTCTTCAGAATCCTCGCCCCACGTTTCGGGCTCCTGCCTAGTCCCCTTAGCTCATTAGCACTATTGACATCTTAGGATGGATAATTCTGTGTTGTGGGGGATGCCCTGTGCATTGTAGGATGTGTAGCCACGGCCTTGGCCTCTGCTGACTGCCTGCCCGTAACACCCACTTGGTTTTAACAACCAAAATTATCTCCGGATATTGCAGATGTCCCAGGGGGGCAGGATTGCCCCTGGTTGAGAACCACTGCCTTAGCTGGACTCAACATCATTAAAACAAAACTTAGCCCTGCTCCTCCTCTTCCTCCCGCCCAGCTAACACAGGGGGTGACCAGATGCCAAGAGATTCCAGCACAACTTTCTGCATGACAAAGGGCAAGGAGACTGAGGGAAAGGAGCCACAATCACTAAATTCAGGGGGCGGGGGGCGGGGTGCACGGAGATCCTGAACTCTGGCGCACCAGGCTGTTATGGCCAACCTTCCCTTAGCTCAGGCAACCTCAAATCCTTCTGGGCACAGCAGGCCCGTGGCCAGAGCTGATGTAAAAGGTGCCATCCCTGCTCGGACTAGCACCCACATGTTTACCTGTATGGGAATAGGGCAGACTTTAGTGCTAGAAATGCTTCTTTGACCTGGCTTTTGGCTGTACTTGTTAAAGACCTCATGGTGTCTAGTAGTAGTTGGTATTCAATGAATGAATGAATCAATATATAATTGGGAGTATTTATTACTCTATAAGGTCAGAAAGGAAAAAGCCCCCGGCCTCATTACACATGTCTTGCCTCCCCAGGTCTGACCTACCATAAACATGGCAACCAGTGCCGTCCCCAGTGACAACCTCCCCACGTACAAGCTGGTGGTGGTGGGAGATGGGGGTGTGGGCAAGAGTGCCCTCACCATCCAGTTTTTCCAGAAGATTTTTGTGCCTGACTACGACCCCACCATCGAAGACTCCTACCTGAAACACACAGAGATTGACAATCAATGGGCCATCCTGGACGGTGAGACCCAGATGGCAGCCCTACAATGGGGTGGGGGGGCATGGG